GTGTGTGTGTGTGTGTGTGTGTGTGTGTGTGTGTGTGTGTGTGTGTTTCCCAGTCTGTTTTTTTGTTGGTGAGTCTCCAGGATTCTCTGGATGCATCTGTCTCACTAAGAATCTCAATGTCTCTCTAGGAGGGACTCAATGGGTTTCTCTGTCTTGCCATGCTTCAGCACTTTTCTGTGCATCCCTAATCTCTCTGAAAATAATTGAGTGTGACTGTTTCCTTTTGGGAGGGTTCTTGGGTCTCTGGGGCTCTCTGGGTCTATTGGAGTGTGTCTGTGAATCTGGATGTCTCCATGTCTCTCTGAGTGTCCTCAGAGGTTCCAGATGATCATGCGTGTGACAAAGCTTCTCTCTCCCATCTGCCTATGGGCTTCCCTCTGGGTGGTGGCATGTCTCTCCCTCTCTGTTATATGTTGTTATCCCCTCCTTGTATCATTGGATCCTGCATGCCCCAACGTGTCTTTGGTTCCTGCTGGGTGAGATTGGTCTAGGGCCCAAGGCCACTGATCAGATTGACATCTAGGACCAAGTTAATTTGGAGTTAGACTTTGCCCCTCACAGGACCCCACTAGAGTCTGTGATACTTCCGTGGTATGTTCGTGATTGCCTGGCTAATGCTTTAGCCTGCTCCATCTTCCCCTCCGCTTGAAAGGGTTTCAGAATATCTGGACTGAAGGTATATTGCTTATGAGTAGAGGACAAATTTGGGGCATGATGCCCAAGCTACTTTCTCAAGTCTACCCAACCATCCTCTTCCATCCCTCTCAGGGTCCTGGCTTCTACTGATGTGCTGTCCACAGATACAGACAGTAGTATATCAGATGAAGAAAATGATCATATTATGGACAAGATGTGTCATGAAATTGAGGACCTTCTGGAGGGTAAGACCAATCCTGAGAGGCTACAGAGACAGAAGGAAAAGCAAGAGAGTCAGGAACTGCGGCAGCTAATGCTTGGAGGAGATGGGGGTGCTCATCTCCAAGAAAAACGCAAGACAGAGAAGCAGGGTATGTGATGAAGGAAAAAGTGGGATGTCTGGGGGGCCATGCCCATGGAGGAAATGGGAAGTGGGATGGCTAATACCCTTTGTTGCAGCAGGACAAGCTTCCTGAACAGAACATTCAACATTCAACAGCTTTATAAGCACCTCTGAAATGTCATTGCTCTCTTTCTGTCTTTCCTTTTCTCTCTCTCCTTTTCTCTACCTTTTTCTTTGTCTCTGTCTCTTTCATTGTCCCTCATCTTCTACCCATTTCCACATCTCATTTTCTTTCTCTCTTCTATAGATGAAGGCTCAGTCACCTCAAGTCCTGTATCTCTGGTTATCCATCGGACATATCTCGATGAGTCTGGCAAAGAGTACGTGCGTAGTGAGATAGTCCAGGATCCAGCAGTGATCAAAACATACATCCATGTGAAGACCACCAAAGATGAGAACTCTATGTAAGGTCAAGGGTATGATTGGGGGTGGGGTGAGGATGAACATGGGGGTGGGTGGTGTTGAGAGGCACCTGAGGGTAGGTTGGGGCTGTGTGGGGAGAGAGGAGTTTGACTAATGTTTAGGGAGAGGTCAGGAGGAGAGAGTCTTAGTGATTTGGGTAAAAGATTTCTCAAGAGCAATTACCATGGGGCAGCTAGGTGGTGTAGTGGATAGAGCACTGGCCCTGGAGTCAGGAGGACCTGAGTTCAAATCCATCCTCAGACACATAACACTTACTAGCTGTGTGACCCTGGGCAAGTCACTATAACCCTGTTTGCCTCAGTTTCCTAATCTGTAAAATGAACTGGAGAAGGAAATGGCAAACCACTCCAGTATCTTTGCCAAGAAAATCCTAAATAGGGTCACGGAGAGTCAGACATGATTGAAAACTGAATAAAAATGGGGAGGGGTAATGGGGTAATAATCCCTGTCTTACTCACCTCCTAGAAGTGTGGCCATAATTGTGCAAGTTACATCAATTCTTTGTGCTCTTATCATGGTATAAAAGGAGGTGGGTCTTTGCTCACTGTGCCTCTCTGACTGATCCTGGGGAGATTTAGAGCCTTGAGGGAAGGGGCGATCTTGGGGTTGGGTGGGAGACCAAGAATGTAGTGGCTTCATGCAGAGATCAGAGGTCTGGCTCCGAGGCATGTGGGCCTGATAGGGATGGGGAAACCCAATGGGATGCCCCACTGGGTATGGGTGGATGCCTTGTCTTAGAAGGAAGTCTCTAGGCTAAACCTGGAAGGCAGATTCTGAAGTGTCTTCTCTGGGCTCTTTGCTGGGACAGCCGGCGGTTCTTTCAGCCAGATGAGCAGAAGAAGCAGGAATTGCGGAAAGAAAAGAAAAGACTCCAAGACAGACTTCGCCGACTCCGCATAGCAAAGGAAAGGGAAGAGCAGAAGGGACACCTTTCCCCAAAGAACCTTTCTAAACCACAGGCTCCCAAACTGAATGTAAGTAAAAGAACTGGGCTGGGGAAATTCTGAGACATTGGAAAGGGTGAGAATCAGCTATCAGAACCAAGGCTCACAAGGTCCCCTTGGGGTGTCCTCACCCACCACCCTCCCAGAGGCTGGGAGGAAGGATGGGATCTCCCCAGAGCAGTAGGCTGTGCCTTTCTCCTAATCCTTGGTCTATACTCACTCCTCTTGGTTATGTACCATGAATTCTGATTTTTCCTTGGAGTTGTAGTCTTGGTATGACCCACACTTCTCAAGCCTAACTTTGACCTCCTATGTGGCAGCCTGACTTCTAATACTCCAAATTTTATATTGATGATGGATGATGCTGATGAACAAACCTCTGAGAGGTCAAAATACCTAGGTGGCTCGATCTTTGATACCTTTCTTCTACAGCTAATATGTGGTGCCTGTGGATCTCATGGACACATTAAGACAAACAAGATGTGTCCAAAGTACTGCCCACCCAAGGACCTGGCCCCCAGGCTCAGAGTCATGACCCAGGAGCAAGAGGAGAAGGAATTGGCTAAGCGACTCCCTCAGGAATCCCTTATCAAAGTCCAAGAAACCAGACTTTTCATGAATAAAAAGCTATTTGAAGCGTAAGGAGGACAAGGTAGAGGGAGGGGCGCAGTAGCTGGAATCCATTTTTGGGCCTCCCTAATGGTTTATCTAAAAGTAGATATTAGGGCACAAGGTGGGAGAGGCATAAATGCAAACAAGGGAAATGGATTTCTGGGACATGAGTTCAGGGAGCCATGGGTTTTTGTGAGAGACCTAGGGCTACTGTCCAATATCTTGGGAATAAGGACCATCAGAGCATGGTGAGGAGAATCCTGGAGGAGGAGAGAAGGTATAGGGTTGTTTGGGATACAGATATGAAGGTCATTCTCCTTCCCCTGAGAGACTAAATACCAGACTTAATAACAGAAAACTTCAGTGTCCTACAATTAGTTTGGAGAAGTGGCTTTGGGGTGAAGGAAGATTTGGAATGAGAGGGGAGCTCAGGACCGTCAAGTGGTCTCATAACTATCCTTTTTGCAGCACGAATGAGGTCCAAAGGGAAACACTGAAGGTGAGAGTTGAGAAACGGCCCCTGCCCCAGAGCCAGTCCACCCCTCCCCAGAAGAGACAACCTGTGCATATGGATTCTGATGAAAGTTTAAGCTGTATCCGGGTAAGACTGATCACAGAACCAGGAGCTGAAGAACTAGTTGAGTCCTTAGAATGTAGGTTATCTGTGCTTGGAGTGCCTTTGGGAGCATTTATTAGATGAAGAACTAAGGTGCAGAAGAGGGAAGTGATTTACCCCAGATCCCCAAATGAGGAAGGGACAGAGTCAGGATTCTGACCCAGATTCCTGAGTTCAGCTATAGAATGTAAAGGCTGCCTATTCCCCTGTGTCCCTCCTCACTGGCTCCTGGGGGAATCTTCATTTCCCCTATCCATCTCTAAGACAATGGCATTGGGTAACGTGTTCTCTAAGGGTTTTCTAGTTCTAGACCAGAGGAATGTGTGTATGTGTGTATGTGTGTGTGTGTGTGTGTGTGTGGTATACACAAGTCAGCTCCCAGAACCTGAATCCCTGATAGTTAAATGCCAGAAAGCATCATATGAGGCAGTTCTCACGGTGTGATCTTCCTCATTGTTGGGACCCCAGCCTTTACTCACCTGCTACCCTTATCTGGCTGGGGCATCATCCACAGTGCTCTCAGCTCTTGAGTGCAGCCAAATCTTTGACAGGTCCTGAGGAATCTCAGCATAAACACTAAGACACACGTCAGCTGGTTATAGGGATCCTGGACTGTCACTTTCTGGCCCGTCTTCAGGAATAAGTCTCATATCCCAAATTTGAGATTTATAAGTTTCTATACAGAAGCTCCAATTCACTGGCTGCTCCCTCTCAGCCTTTTCTTTTCTCCACATCCAAAATGATAGCACTGGAAAGAATGAGGGGGATTCTTCTTTGTCGTCCTACCCAGAGCTGAAAACTAATGTTGTAGATTAAGCCAAGCCAGGCTAATGTCTGTAATTGTGCTGGGTAGCTCAATATGTCAAATGATTCTGTGACTCCATTTGGTAGATGGAAGGGGACCTTTCCTGCATTCCTGACCTCGTCCACAGCCTCAAACTCTGAACCTTCCACCCCCCCCCCCAAGCCCTCAAATGCTCTAGGAAAGAGAGAGGAGAGTAGAGTACTGCTCACATCCCATAGACATAACCAAGTGATGTTTATTTTCTCTGCAGCATCCATGCCAACCTGCTGCTCCTTGCCCTCCATCAAGGAGACACTTAAAAGTTCCTTCTCATCCAGTGTTCCCTCCCCAGGTTCCTCTGGCAAAGACTCAGAGGACTGCTTCTGTGATGTTCACAGCCAAATCCCCTCAGAAGACTCTGCCACCCCCAGTCCAGTCAGCTCAGAATGAATCTGAAGCCCCTTCACATCCCAAGCATAAAGACTGGAGTCTCCAAAACCGGCTCCAGCAGAGAGACAAGAGTTTAACTCGGCCCTGCCAAAAAGGGCCAGATTTCATGGCCCAGACTCAGAAACCAGTGATCCCTCCACCCAAGGCAGGCCCAGTTCCTCGGAGCCTTCTGTCCCATCCTGCTAGACAGTCTCAAGATCTCCCAACATGTTCAAAGCCATTGTTGCATGGCTCATATGGCCATCAGTACAAGAGACCTGGAAGCTCTCTGTGCCGATCTGGCCAGAAATTGGCCCAGGAACCCAAAGCTGTTTCCAAACGAGGTCCTCAGAATATACTGGACAGATCGTTCCAGAGATCCCCATTGGACCAGGGCACACAGCCAGCTCCCCTATGGAAATCAGGTGCAGGGGTAAGTAGCATGGGTCAGGAAAATGGGGACTAGGGGTCATGGGCTTACCGGGGAAAACTCCTCAGGAATAGGTGGAAGGGAGGACCTAGTATGGAATGGAGATTGTGTCCCCCATTGGAAAGAGAGGGGGTGTTGTAGAAATCAAGGATATTGGGAAGATTATTACCAAGGTCATGTCCCCATCCTTATGAGAAGGGAGGGAAAACCAGAGCCTCCCCTGTTTGGCCTCACCTTCCCCAAAATATCCAACTGGGGAGTATGGCCTGTACCCAATCATTAATAGAATCTTTGTCACCCCTCCCAACAACCCAGGTACTCCAGGCTCCTTCTCGGGACAGAACCCCCATAGGGCTGGTCCAGAAGCATCAGGTCAGTGTTCTGTATGAGGACCTCCAAGTTTCTGATACAGATGAAGAAGAAGAAAATGAAGAGGAAGAAGAAGTATGGAATAAATGAAGAAACACAGAGTGTAAGGTTTTGCCCTCTTGGGATATAGGAATGTAAGGATGTTGGCACGTGAAGGGGAGACAAATGTAATTTTGAAGAGACCTTGTAGCACTGACGTACTTGAAAAGGCCTTTTATTTCAGACCATAGGATCTGACTTTAAGTTCTGGATCTTCCACACATGTGGCCTTAGGCCTTTTAACAGGTCTGATCTTCAGTTCCCTTATCCATCTCTATGACAATGGCATTGGGTAACATGTTCTTTAAGGGTTTTCTAGTTC